TCTACGTAAGGTAATTCCATGTCTAAATGTAGCACGACTTACACAAGAGTACATGGAGATCAGGAGTGCTGAGTATAAGGGCTACACTCTGGTTATGGAGCTTTTAATGCAAAGAAGAGAGAAAACATTTTGCAGTGATCCAAGCAAATGCATCATCCTAGCTTTTGTGCTGGATCTGATACTTTGATCATGTGCCTGATACATTCTACAGAGTCCTCATAAATAAGCATTTAGTTCTTTAACCAAAAAAAGGTTAAATCAATCTTCAAATCACACAGATTCCTACACAAGCCTGAGTTTTCCTGAGCAGGTGACTGTTACTGAGGCTGATGCTTAGAAATTAGAAAAATCTCAGAGGAAGTGATAAAGAAAAGGAAAAAAAGGATGAACTATGTGGTAGTGATTAGCTGTTGGAAACACTGCTGGAATCATTCACTGCTAGGGTAGACACCTGGCTTCTCACAACCTACCCAGACAGCCAAAGGAAAGTTAATGTCCCAGCCACTTCATCTTGCCTCAGATGAGTAAGTCTTAGTGAATGTTGTTAGGCATGCTGTAGGTGCTCAGAGCTAATAACTTGGGAAAAGTACCTTCTGATGGGATTCTCTCTCCTTGCTTAAACCTGATGGGTTTGGGTTTTCTCCTACACTGGTGCACACCCCTGGTGACACACACATCCCAGCACCCATTGCACTACACCTCCTGGGGCTCATAGATCCTGACAGACCTCAGCTCAGCTTCTGGGCAGCGTGGATTATAAATACACCTAATTACAAATGGGAAGAAAATCCCTCCTCTTCCTCCTGTCTTTTCAAACAAACTGTCCATAAACCAATCCCTACTTGCAGCCTGAGGCAAACCCCCTCCCTTTTTTCAGTGGAGAAAGTCAAACATATTAGCATTTGTTTATATTTCATTTTGCAAGTAACCATTTAGGACAGAAATGAGGAACTTTTGCCTTATGCTGCTGTCAAGAAAGATATTTTTAAGTTGCTTGTCCGTGTTGCCCACACAAAGGCTGAGAAGCATCTTTGCAGGGTCACTAATAACTGAAACTGTCAGGAGACAGACAACATCCCACTATGCTGACTGTGGCTGGCAGATATTCACACTGCAATTCCAAGCTCTGTGTTAACCACACACCCAGCCTGACATAAATTGTCTTCTGAGATTAAAAACTCTTGTATTGGCTATAAAAAGAATTGACAAAGACACAAAAAAAGTCATGGTAAAGGGCAAATCTCACATGGTATGTTTGGTAATGACACAGCAGAGAGATCTGAGAGCACAGGTAGGCCCTAAGGAGATATTTACACCATTCTAACAATGGAAAATAACAAAGAAAGGAGCTCAAGGGAAAATGGTACGCCAAGCAACATAGCATAAAAGCAATTCAGCGGAGAGCGGTTTCATCCACTGGGATGGGGAAAGGGAAACCAAGTATAGACAATGGATGGGCAGAAGAGAAGCTGAGGATTTACAGTGGTTTTCACTTCCACGTGCCCTGTCACTGGTGCCAGACACATGCTAATGTCTGGTACACTGCCACGTAACGTGGCTTGGATGCATGACAAGAGACTGAAGCCTTTACACCTGGATTATGCTTGTGCTTCCTGGAGGACATTCAAGGCAGCAGAGGGGACGTTATGAGCTCAAAACAGCCACGCATTCTACTTGCAATAGGTTTATAGTTGGTAACAAGGTCAAAGGCATGCAAAGCTGCCTTGTCATGGCTTCATCATCTGGTTACTCTATGTAGCTCTTCAGAGCTTGCCCCAGGAGCAGTGTCCATCGGCAAACCTTTTTCTCTCACAAGAGAAGCTGATGGATTGGTCAATGTGGGATCTGCATCTGTGCTGCTACCACCTAAATATGCTCAAATGGGCTTTTGTACAACTCATTATCAGTTTGGGTATGATAAAAGAGGAATTTGGAATCTTTTTAGACTTCTAAAATCTTAGATGCTGGAAAAGTAGTGTTCTTGGAAGCAGGGCCTAATGGTAGCATAAAACAGCAGGGGCCAACTCCAGGATACCAGTATTTACCTTCAAAACCTACAAATAATGTTTATTTTAAACCCCAAGAATCATAACCCTGATTTCTCTTTAAAAAGGGCTGCTCAAAAAGCCACTGAAAGTTCTACCTTTCCTACCTACCAAAAATGACATAGTTTAAGAGGTTTATTTGCCCACCCAGCTCCTTACCGCAGCCCTTTGCTGCCTGTTTCCAGGCAGAGTCTATAAGGAAACACTCACCCTGCAGCTGCTCCAGCACAAACCCCAAGGTCTCAGCTCAAACCCACCCTCAGGGGTCATTTCAATCAAGTGGAGCTTGGCTGAAGCTCCCCTGTGATCAGTCTGCAAGGGTGGTGACCACTGGCAGAGACAGATGCAGCTAGGATGGAAATGCCTTAAATCCTTCCTGGAGTTCACCTGTCAAAACCCTAAGCAATGAATTAGAAATGGAGTATACAAACTATTCCTGCAGTTCAGCTGAAAAACAGCCTTCACAATGCCCACCCAATTGTATCATTGCATTGATACGATGCTAGAAAAAATACAAATCTCATTTTGGCTAGGAAGGCTGCTCTGATAAAAGGTTTTGATCTATTTATGGTCTTGATTAAATTAGCAACTTACTTTTGGAGCCATACACTTGTGAGCTATTCCCTATTTTCAATACAATCTATATTTCAAGTGAGTTTTAGTGAACGGGTGAGTTATTCATCTTTGATGCTATGACTAGAAGGCTGCAGGAACAGCACATGGTGTGTTCACATATGATAAGCCCCATGTGTGCATGTAGTGGTGTTTGTCTACTGCATGCAGCTAGAAGGTTACAGTACCTCGTTTCCTGTCCACATCTGTCCATTCATCTACACGAAGCATATAAAACAAAAACACCAGTTCAAGAAGTAAGAACAATAGTTTCAAGGAGAAGAAAAGAAATAATCTAAATAAAAGAGAGAAAATCTAACTAAAGGACTTGGGTTTTTCTCACAGCATTCAGTGAACTCTTCCGTTAGTTGACATCTTTTACAAGCACACAGATGGTGAAACCTTGCCCTCCCCTTGGAAACAACTCTGTTGCTTCAATGGAGATAAAATCTTACCCTGGATTGACTTTTAGCACGTTTTGCATTGAGCTTGGAAAGTTTTCAGCTGTTTTTTTCACACTTGCAAGTAAAGAATATTTGAGTTTAAAGCATTAACAAACACCTCAGTGTGGAGGAAACCACATCTCAGTGAAATGAACACTCCAGTTTTGGTAAGATAAAATACAAGTGTGGATAAACGAGTACAGAGCTAACTCTCCTGCTGAGATATTCCACCAAGTACGGAATATCTCAGCTAATCCAGTCTAAACTCTAAACTTAGACCTACGTGATCAGCAGTAAACTTTTGGCATTGATCGTTCTCTAAGACACACAGGAATAACTCAGATTTGCACCACTGTAGCAAAACCTGTGCTACTGCTTCTTAATACTGAATAGGCAGGAGAAGGAATTAGGTCTTCCTGAAACAGTTCAGGCCCTGGACTGAGATGCCCAAGTCCTGACTTATTTTGATTCCAAAATTACATTTCTGAAGCTCTAAGCTCTGAAACAAATACAGAAACGCAGAAATGGGTTTCAGTTTATACCTTATCTGTGTGCATTTCACGAATTAGCTTCCATAAGACCTTCAGGCAGTTATTACCACAGAAGCTTCATGACAACTGATTAATTCAAGAGGCTTTACTTCGAAATTAAGATGAGAAAACACACACAATTAATTACTGCAGCGAGGAAACTACTTGCCCCAGCAGCTTTTCAAGGACAGCTCTGAGCATCCTTCAGTGCCAAGTATACCCGTGTTTACTGCACTAGAGAACACAGAGGCGAGCCGGCCCTGGAGGAGCCCATCTCTTTACCTGGCTGGGGGCCGGCACCGGCGGCTCCTCCCGACCAGACCCGGGGCGGCCTCAGGCCCCGGTCCCGCACTCAGGCCTCAGGCTGAGGCCCCGCTCGGCACCCACAGGCCGCGGGAGCCCCGACCCCACGCAGGACGGGCTCCGGGAAGTGCCCCGGCCCCGGGCTCTCACCTTTGCGGGCTTTCTCGCCCGGGATGCTCTGGGCCCGGAGGCGCTGGTCCAGGATGTACAGCATCTCCCCGCCCAGGTTGAGGAACAGCAGCGGCAGCGTCCGCACCGACATGGCGACCGCCGGTCCCGCCGCCGCCGTTGTTGTTGCCGGGCAACCAAGGAGCCAATCGGGAAGCGCCGTCTTGGCCCGCAGGGGTCCCCTCAGGAGAGGCTCTTCAGCCGGGTGCGTGGGTTGTGGGTGCGGGAGGGAAGTGGCGGTTTGTGACAGAAAGCGTTAAAATAGCGAGTTTAATACGATAAAAGAGAGGTCAGCGCTCCCCGGTGTCCTGCTGGTGACCGCAGCTGAGACAAAGGAGGGGCGTTTTGTGGGTATCAACCAACAGGCATCACCGTAATCACACCAGCAATGCACTTTTCATCACCAGCACCGGCGTTTTGTGCTAAAACCAACCCACCAAGTTCGAGAATGACAGAGGGAAGGCTGCGGAGAGCAAAGGTAAGGTATAGGTCCACTGTGAAATCAGATGTGATTAACAGGGTTTGTGCAGCCATAAAGCTCCTCCTCAACCCAAGTGAGGAGAGGGGCACGGAGCTTTGAGCTACTGTCAGGGCTGCTGTCTTACCACATTCTTTCGCCTCATTTATCACCCCACAGCTGCATGCAGCTGGGTCAGTGCCACAACAGCACGATCCCGCAGGCTGGCTGGGTGAGGACAGGAGATGGGCACTGCTCCAAGGCATTCCCATCCCTGCCCCTCAGCCAGGAGCCAGGGGTGAACCCCCCCCAAGGTCCTCCCCTCACACAGCCTGAACTGCTCACAACACAAGCCTTAAACTTCTAAAACTGCTTCAATCGCTTATTCCAGGTGCTCAGAACGGTGCAGGCCATGCACACACATAAGCAAAGAGGCTTTAGGTCTTTCAGTAGTTATTTATTGTTAGAGACTGCACCAGGTTCAATGTGCTGCTACACCGGCGTGCCCTCGGCCTGTGCCTGTGCCTGCTCCTGTGCCTCCTTCTCCCGTGCCTCCTTCTCCCGCGCAGCTCTGGCTCTGGCTCTTGCTCGCCACTCCTGCCTCTGCTTCAGCCTCTCCGGTGCTTTCAGCTTCTGCACCTCCTCAAAAACCTGCAGGAGAATGTGAGAGAAAGGGAGCTGGATCCTGGTTCTGGAGCAGAGGGCAGGAGGCAGGCTGTGCAGTGAGATCTGCTCCTTCCCATGTGCCTCCTCCGGGATGCCAGCCAGCTCTGCTCCCAGGGTTGCGTTTGGAGGCATTCTGTCTTTGGTTGTAATTGCATCGGGCTACAATTTAGTATATACAGACTGAAGGCATGTCCTGCTTTTTGATTCTGCTCAGAGACACACTGCACACAGCGGTTACAGCAATGCACTGAGATGAAACGAGAGCAGACAGTGGCTGTACCTGCGTTTCTGTTCCAAAGCTGCCCCTAAATTGAATTGTCTCACACATTAGTTCCAATACCAGGCTTGGAAAAGAAAAGCTGGCTTGAATTCTAAATTTCTGAGCAAACTAGCAAAACAACCTGAAATTCTCCAGCACAGAACATCTGCAGCATGACTGCTGCTGCCCACTGCATAACTGTGGAGCTCTTTGCTGAGCTTACACATTTCTCTAAAGATATTATCACTGTCTGCTCAAATTCAAAGCAGCATGGATTTTGAAAGGATTTAACTACCAGTCTTCTTAATTGTGCCCTTCTCTAAAAGGACTTTTTCCCACTCCAGCTACGTGGCCTGCTCTGCAGGCTGCTCCATACCCTGCGACAGAAAGCCTTCTTCACCAGCCAGCGCTTGGTGATCCGCCGGGAGTAGGCAGCGGGCAGGCTGTACTGGATGTTCAGCTGCTTGCAGGTGTTCTCAAAGGCATCATAGCGGACACGCCGAAGATAGCCCAGGAGTTTCTTCCGGCGATCTATATCCATCAGCATGCGGCGGCGGTTACTTTTATCCTGCAAAGATTGCAGACAGATTATTCCTGTTCTAATAAATTACTTAGAATGGACCTGATTATGGCTGAAAGGAAACAATCAGGTTAAGGACAGTATCTTGGAACCATTTTTCTTGGCAGATACTGCAGCACATTAGGTCACTACAAGGAGATCTGAGCAGATTTAATTTACTTTCCACTGAAATTGCTTTCTTCATTCCGTGCTTGCACTTTCACCTTCCTCCCCCAGCCTTGAAGGCTGTTTCCAACTTGTACACAGCAGTGAAAGCCACAGTGGCTTGGAGGCACAGGCCAAAGGGAAGGTCTACTGGCTAAAAGCTCTGCTTCCCCTGAAATGTGTTGGTCCAGAAACAACACAGAAGCATTTCCCTTTAAAATGTGAAAATAAACCATGACTTGGCTCTGACCATTTAGGTTGTTCTTTGGAAGAGAGCACGTGTAGCCAGAGCCATTCAGGGCAGCCTCCCATAGGAGAAACTTCCTCAATGTGTGTAAGAAACTGGCTTCATCCGAGTAATTTCTAAAGGTCTTTTCTGCTGAAACATTTTGTACAACTTCTGCCTTCTTACTAAAACTGAATTCTATTTCATTTTACCCTTCAAGCTTTTAACAAACGCACTTTTTTCAAGCACAGCTGGTTCATGCATTTCCCACCTTTTGCACTGCATAAAGAATCTTTAATACATCTTGTTCCTAAATTTGCAGTTGTGCTGTTTCAAATTTGGGCTCTGAACCCAGGCAGCTTTAGAGAGGATTGTGGTTGTTATGACACTAACACAGTCCTGCCTGCTCAACGTTCTCATAGGCAGAACTAAGACAGAATACAGCTGCTGAAGTGGGAACATTAATTACACGGAAAACTAAGCAGCAAAGCCACACCTGCAGCAAGGATAAATTTAGCTGAACTCCATTCAAAGTTATCTGCTCAGCTGTTTCCACCAATCCAGTGACAAAAAAGAACAAGCTCTTCATCCCAGTTGGTGAGCACGTAGCTGTGACTGAGCCAGCAGCTTCCCAGGCTGGCACCCGGGAACATTTATAACTATTTTATAACCTTCTCAGGAAAGCCACAATGCCCAGAATTAAAATCCTTTTGTTCTTGAACTGAGAAAACAACCTGAGCAGCTGCTGGCTCAGACGTGTGGGCTCAGACTTCTGACAGTTACCTTGGGATGCTTCTGAAGATGCTCCTCGTAACTGCGTATCTTGGCAGTCAACACAGCAACTGTAAAGAACAGATGTAACAAGCCGTGTGAGAGCAGCAGCAGCTTTCTGGGGTGAGACAGTGTCATCTGCATTGCCTCCAAATTGCCAGCTGAGGACCCACTGCACCACAGCAAACATCACCACACAGCCCTCCAAACGAGAGCAAAACAAACCACAAAATACAACCTACTCAACCTAAGTCAGAACTATTACTATTATGAAGATGCTTAATTAGAGGATAAAAGCTTAACAACAGCTCAGATGACTTCATCTGTAAACTGCCTCTTGCACTCAATTATGGGTGACTTTACATTCACTTCACTTGGCTTGGAGGAAGAGACACAAACTAAAGGCTCTTTCTAAAAGCAGCAGCCAGCTCTTTGTGATTTCAGGCACTGGATTAAGAGGCCAGTGGCATCCTGCGGAGCTGAAGGATGATAAAGGAGTGCATCTTGGTCAAAAGCAGTGTGGCCTCCATCACTGCACTGGCAGCCAGAACTCTCTGATGCAAAGGGAAATTTGGGTTCCACGGCTAAATCTAGTAGTTCATTTTGGTAATGAAGTACAATGCTTCCTGTCATATAAGCACTTCAAGCAGGATAATGCACTTGCCACCCCTGGAGGATGGATACGGAGCAGGAATTTGGAAGATGCCCTAGCAGACATCTGCCAGCAAGCTCAGGCACTGCTTCCACAGTGTTCCCCACCCCTGAAGCTCCAGGGCATACTGCAGGTACTCTCCTGAAGGAAACCTGAAGTGCTGGGGTGGGAATAGCTGAATAAAAGCAGAGATATATCGTCTGCCAACAATACCCTCCTGCTTTTTTAACTTACCTTGCACCTCAAAAGAGCCATTGTCGCTGGGAGACCTCCTGACCTTCTCCACCAGCTGCTGTGTCTTTATTTTCATCTTTTCCTTCTGTGGATAACAGCAAAGGGCTTGTCACTTTCTCAAGAGCACTAAAGGTCTGAGACACCCCAGCTCTCTTCCCGAATGCCCAGCTAAAGGTTTTGTAATTAATAGCTTTACTCAGTGTCCATCACAAAGTGTGAAAGAAGTGCTGCAAAAAAAGGCCCTGCTGCTTGCAGGACAGAGTACAGCAGCAAAGCAGCACAAAAAGATCTCAGCAGAACACACAAGTGCCATTGTTCAAACCAAGAGTGCAGGCACACCCTTCACCCCAGGACTACAGAAGGAGGGTGTTGAAGAGGCCCTGCTGCTCTCACAAGTGTGGGAGAGAACTGGGGCTGACCTCACATGGCAGTAGCTTTTACTTTTCGCATTTTTTAAGCTTAAGTGTTAAGTAGCAAGAAATGGCAAGATCTTTCTGCTGCCTTACAATTCACTTACTTTGTTTTCTGGGCACACAAAAAGTAGTTTGAAGCACATCTGCTGCCCAGTGCCCTGGTTTCTAGGGCACAGGCCTCATCAGTAATGTAACACAGCTCATCTCCCCTGTGACAGCCTAATATTTTCTTCTAATTTTAGTACGTAATTATTATCATAAAGATTGCATGATCAATTTTAGGAGCATACAAAACTTTTCACTCACATATTTAATAGCCCCAGATTTGCAGTCACCGAGCAACACTTAAAGTGAAGGGCATTTAACAATACAGACAGGTCTTACACACACGTGCTCACTGGATCTGCCACATATTCTGATGGAAGTAGAATGGAACTAACCTGGCTTGCCATTTCCAGTGACAACAGCCTTTTCACTACATCATCCACACTGCAAGAAGATTGCAGGTTAGTTTATAAGCTAGAAAGGAAGTACATTTAAGTACAGAAATGAGGTTAGCTTTTCAGAACATGTTATCTTTTCTCAACCTTAATTTACTCTGCACATGTACAGCAATTCTCCTCCCCTCCCAGACCTGTCAGGTATAAACTGGTTCTTGCATTCCTAGGGAAAACCACGGTGTGGATTACTGAACATGGAGGAGTTTTGCTGCTGAGGGAAGCAAGTTATTTCAAATATTGAGAAAGTCTTATGAATTCCAGAAACCTGACGTGAAAATAGGTGCTGAAGATAACCCCAAGTAAGCACACAAGGGCAAAATAAGACCAGCTCCTTCAAAGATGTGTGAAAGTCTCAGAAACGCCACTGGGGGCTCTCCCTGCATCACACATGAGCAGAGCTGGAATCGAAGCTTAAACCCTCTCAACTCCAGGTCCAGGTTTCAACAGCAGCCACTCCTTTGGAGCTGTTTCACCACACCCTCTCCAGCACCTGAGTTCAAGACAGGCACAGGGTATTTCTAAGAAGATTATTTCTAGTATTTCAATATTGTTTCTCTTTTCTATGCTCTACAAAGTCCACAGAAGATGTGGGCAACCAGCACTTAATCTTGCATTAAGAAAACAACCCCCCTTAAACAACCATCATCAGTGATTGCTTTTGCAAATTCGACTTTCAGAATGACTCTGCAGTTTCTGTGCTAAATTGCAAACCAGTGATCACAGAGCACTGATTAATTACCAAGCAGGTGACAGCTTCCACACAGCATGGTTGTGCCTGTGTAAGATACAAATCTCTGAAGAGAACAGTCCTTCCCTCTCCCTGCATCATACCTATTTACTACTGGGACATCGGTATAACCTTTCTTCAGCATTGTGGGAGGAAGGTCATCCAAATGGCTGGGGAAGTCTACAAAGAAAAGATGAGCATTTGAGGAAGAGCAGTACAAAGTCAGGGCTCTGAACATACCCGCAAACTAGATCAGAGGAAACAAGTTGCAAAGAAAAGAGACTGTATGCTCCAAATAAGAAGGAAGAACTTAAGAGATAGAGCTGAGATGGAAGGAATTGAGTGAATAAAATCGGGTGCAACCTCTTGCCTTCAGCACCCTGGATTTACAACCTGGTGTACAGTCCATTGAGATCAGTGATCTCTTGCTAATGGCAAGTACTGATTTCCCACACATTACGAGCAGCTGAATTTTGGCTAACTTCTAATCTTGACATACCTTTCATTCTTTTTTTCACAGGTCTAGCATACCATCTGGCTGTCTGAATAAGGGGACTGCAAGCTGGATGGAAGAAAACAAAGATTGATCAGACTCATATGCTTTTTTAAGCTATGAACACATTAAATACCACTCAGTCTGTACTGGAAAACTGGTCAGAGTATTTAAGACTCCAAGGGGATCAGTGGCCAGCCAGGTCTTTTGTCCCAAAGGAGCGTGAACAGTTCAGTGTGGTTCTCACATGAGTGCTAAAAGAAATGGGTGAAGCTGTGCTTCTTCTGGGTGATCTGCACCCAAATAATGAGAACAGAGCAGCAAGGAGGAGATTACAGACATCAAGCAGAGTGTGAGGGCTTCCCAGCTACACTGTGTCCATCTGGAGGGTTTAAACTGATGAACTAAATCAAGTAATTCCTTGTGAGTTAGAGGCTGCTCTGGACTACCCCAACGGCAGAGCGCAGAGGCAGCGAGATCTAGAGGCAACCTTTGAGCAGCACAGCTGGCTAAGGGTGAGAATACTCATCCACAGCCTCAACTGAGACGTTCTTTGACCTTCCAAGGACAAAATCCTCCAACTGCTCCTTCGAGGCTCCTGGAATCAATGCCTGCTCCTGTGCCTCCAACGTGTCTTCAAGTACAGCCTTTGCCAGCACACAGCCCTGCCTGCAAACGGGACAGGCTGAGAGGCCCCGGAGCGCAGCGCCGGACCCGCAGGGCACCAGCGCTGTGTGCAGGCTGCGAGCACAGGCACTGCCCGCAGGGCTCAGCACGCCACTCGTGCTCTCGGTGCGGTCACAGCAAGCGCGGAAGCCCCGCAGGGCTCCAGCCCGCACCTTGGCCCCGCTCGCAGCAGCTTCGCCTTGGGGAGCTGCAGCCTTGGGGCTGCTCCGGCAGGTCCCGGTTGTACCGGGCAGGGTCAGCGGGCAGCCCCCAGCCCTCGGCCCGGCTCCTCCACTCGTACGTGCCCACAGCCTCCCGCCGCCTCTCAGGGCTGCTTCAAGCTCCTTCCACTCCATCCTAGGCCACCCCGAGACCGCCCCTTCCCGTCTGTCCCCGGCCCCCTCTTCCCCCGCACTCCTCACCGGCCCCGCCGCGGGCCGGCCCCGCCAGGCAGCGGCCCAGCACCGTCCGCAGCGCCAGCATGGCCCTCCGCTCACGGGCTCGCCGCAGTGGGCGCCGCCATCTTGCCCAGGCGCCACGGCCGAGCGCCGAGCCAGAGCGAAGGGGCCGAGCGCCGAGCCAGAGCGAAGGGGCCGAGCGCCGAGCGCGTCGATGGGCGGGGCAGGCGGATCGGGCACCCCCGAGCCCCCGGGGCTGATCCTGCCCGCACCGGGATGCTCGGGGCCGTTCTCAGCGCGTCCCGTTTATTGCAGTAGGGCGGGGACAGGAGGGGACGCGCACAGCAGTGACGGAGCGAGCCGGGCCCCCTGTACCCCGGTGCAGCCCCAGCACTAAGCCGCCCGGCAGTCGGGCAGCTCCTCGGTGCCGCCGATGCGGAGCCCCTGCAGCAGCGGGAAGGTGGCGGGCAGCTCCTCGGGGCAGCCGCCGTCCCCCGGGCAGCCCAGCCACAGGTTCTCGTAGGGCAGCGGGCTGGGGCTGGGGTCGAGGAGCAGCGGCTGCGTGGAGCTGGAGCGCAGGTAGAGGCGGGGGGGGCCGTGCTGCTGCCCCTTGTACCCGCTGCCCATCACCCGCGCGTACTGCACGGGCTCCCCGCTCCCGCCCGGATCCCGGCACGGCTCCGCTGCGGACCAGCCCCGGCCCTCCTGCGGCACGGTGCAGGGCACGGAGGGCTCCGCGGCACGGGGTGGCTTCCCCGCCGCCCTTTCCAGCACTGTGACGGTAGAAATGGTTGCGGGGCCGGGCTCCTTCACAGCGGGCACCTGCAGAGGCTCCTGCGGCACAGAGAGTGCACGGTCAGAGCCTGTTCGCAGGCTGCAGCCCCTTCGCTGCCCCCTCCCTGTTCCCCTCAAGCAGTGCCCGGTGCGGAGCAGGGCACAGGGGCAGCAGCTGCCCAGGTCTCACCTGCTGCAGCTCCGCTGGAACCCACTTGCCCAGGCTGCTGTTGGCGGGGTCGGGGACGCTGGGCCAGAACTGCTGCTTCACCCTGGGGACCACAGGACCAGGGGATCATTGGAGGGCCTGGAACTGGTGGCCCTGTGGCTGGCTTCACTGCTGCCAAGCTCATGGAGGGATGCTGCTGCTCCTCACATCCACCTTGTCCCTCCAGGACAAGGACTGGGCACAGGGATGCCAAGTGTGGGGCTGATCCAGCCCATGGCAGCTCTCAGTACTCACCGCCCGTTCTTCTGGAAGCAGATGAGCAAAAGGATGAGCAGGACAAAGACCAGCCCAAGGGTCAGGAAGAGGAACTGGATTTCAGCATCATCTGGAAGGCGGGCAGGGACAGGGTCACAGGAGGAGCTGTGCGGGGCACCTCTGGCCATGCTGTGCCATGAGCTGTGCCACGAGGCTGGGGCAGGACCCAGGCTCTGTCCCTGCACTCCTCACCTAGCACTGTGGTCACCAGGGTCAGGCTGGTGCCGTTGGTGCTGCCGGCAGCCGTGGATGCCATGATGTGCACTTTGTACAGCGTTGATGGCTTCAGCTCCTGGATGATGAAGGAGCTGAGAGAGGGATTCAGGGTGGAACCTGGGGAAATGGGGGGCTGTTGGCATGGTGGGGGCTGCGTGGTCCTCACCTGCGTGGTCCCTTGGCGGTGCATGTGGGACCTGTGCACACCCCAACCCTCTCTGACAAGGGCAGAATCTGCTCTTGTCCGCACCCAACGCACAGAGGAGGGATGGAGGGCAGGGCAGGGGTCACAGGCAGGACTCACTGGACACATCTGCAGTGCTGTTGGCCCAGAAGATGGTGTAAGCGGTGATAAAGCCATTCTGCATCTCCACGGGCACTGGCTCCCAGCACAGCTCGGCCCTGGACTTGCTGATGCTCTTCAAGTGGAGCTTCGGGGCATAGGATGGTGCTGAAACAGAGCAGGACAAGAGACCAGCGTGGGAACTGAAGGGGGATGCTCTGAGTGGCAAATCCCACTCCCGATGTGTGGGTACCAGGCCCTGCCCCACGCTGTGCCCCTGTGGGGCTCTGGGCAGCAGAGAGCAGCTTCAGGGACAAGCCAAGATCCAGCGCCATGGGCTGAGCTCCTGAGTTAGTGTTACTTGGGTCTCTCCCTTTTGAAAGGCAAAGGCCCTGTGGTGTGGGGTGAGCCCCCTGCGGCCCCGAGGGTGGCTGCTGGGAGCACACGTACCCTTCTGCTTGGAGTAGGCTACAGCGTGGACAGGCACCCCTATGGCATCCTTGTAGAGGGGGTACACGGAGATGTTGTACCGCTGGAAAGGCTCAATGCCATCTGCAGTGGAGAGCAGAGGGGGGAGCGTGAATGTGAGGCTCTGGCTGCCCTGAACCCCTGGTTGTCCTGCTCCTGCCCCTGCCCCATAGCATTGGCCTTTGACCGGCCAGGAGGGCAGGGACCCCCTGCCTTACCCTGGATGAGGGCTGCGGTGGCAGCCCCATCATGCTCCATGTGCCAGCAGGCGCTGCAGCGGCCGGGCTCCGAGGACACCCGCAGCCACTCCAGGATGTACGCGGCCACCGGGAACGGCGGCGGCTCCCAGTGCACCCAGAGGCTGTGCTCCCCCCCGGGCACAGCCCGGAGCCCGGCCAGGGGCTGACCTGCATGGGGACAAGCAGCAGGGATGATGGGAGAGGGGAGCATCCCTGCTGCCTGCTTGGGAACCCCCCGGTTGCTCAAACCCAGTCTGAGAGCTCAGGGAGCTGCTGGGGGAGCAGCAGAGCCCCAGGAGGGTGCTGAGGTTTGGGTGCTCTGCTCTCACCTTTCCTCTCCAGTAGGACAACCTCGGTCACTGCGCCCTCGCCGGCAGCGTTGTAGGCTGAGAGATAAACCCTCCTGGTCCCCGCGGGTGCTGAGAAGTTGCAGTGGGTGTGGGTGGTGTTGCAGACCATCGGGGGCTCCCTGCCCCTCCTCCTGGGGCTCAGGGTGACGTGGTACCCCAGCACTCGCCCATTAGCCTCCTGCCGCCGTGGGGCCTGGGCACAGGGAGGGAGTGTGGGGATGCTCAGTACCCATGCTCAGTGCCTGTGGGCATGCTTGGTACCCATGGGGATGCTCAGTGCCAGCGGGGATGCTCGGTCCCCATGGTGATGCCCCAGTTGCCCCATGTACCCCCCCCCCCCCATGCTCACCTTCCAGCAGAGCTGCACCTCCAGCCCCTTGCCCCCCCTGGCCGGCTGAGAGCTCCACCACGCATCCAGCTTCCCTGTGGGGGCTGCGACAGGAGGAGGACAGGCAGGGAGCTGAGGGGCAAGCACGGCCATGCCACCCTGGCTGTGCTGCCTGGCCAGGCAGCGGGGCCCCCCCGGTCACCGGGCACCCACCTTTCTCATGGGTGGTGTAGTTCCTGCCCGGGCTCCACTCGCTCCAGTAGCCCCGTGCCAAGCTCCGCCGGCACCGCATCTGGAAGCGGTACTGCGTGCCGAAGAGGAAGCCGCAGCACTGCGTGGTGCCAGCGTGGCCGACGATGTTGGTGACCTGGTGGCAGCCACAGAAAGAGCTGTGGCGGCTCCTGCCTTGGGCACAGAGCGGCTGTGGAGCAGAGGGGAGGTCCTGGCTCGGGTCGCTCACCCGCCCTGGTCCTGCTGCCCCCAGCAGCACTCACCAGAGCCCATGCGGTGTCCTGGGGTGTCCGGTAACGCAGCTCACACTGCAGCTCCATGTGCGCATTGCTCCGGGCCACGTCCCAGCTCAGGGCGATGCAGTTGGTCTGGAAGGGGATGGACTGGATGCTCCGCAGGGCTGGGGGGTCCAGCTTGGCTGGAGGAACAGCAGAGGAGTGAGCTGGAGACACTGGGACCATGGCCTTGCGTGTGGCCGTTGTTAATGGCACGAGCTACAGCCTTGGTGCTGGCCTGCCCAAGGTGAGGGATGGGGAGAAACCACCCCAAAATCTTCAGGAGGATGGCTCACAGCAGGCGATCTGCCCCTGCCCAGGACACGGGGTGATGCTGGGGAGCACAGCACTGCCCCTGCTCTGCAGCCTTAATGCCTACACAGGAAAAACAGACCCTGTGGGACCCAGGCTCTGGTCCGCAGCCATGAAACCTGCACATTTGGGTCTGCCCCGGGCCAAGAGGCCAGCAGAGCCATGGGAGGGTTCAGCTGGTTCAGGGGCAGCCCTTGCCCAGGTCTAGAGCAGGGAGGATGGGTCGCATCGCCTGGGAAGGTTCCTTTTATGAATAGTTTATAGGAGCTGATGCATTATTAATAGACCTCCTGAATGAATGGGTAATCAATTGTGGGAGAGAGTTGTAGAGCGCAGCAGGTCAACCGATGGCTCGGAACCCGCCAGCACACGCTGCTCGCTCTGTAATGCAGCTTTGGCACCTACTCATCCCGGCAAGCCATTCAGCATGGGATCCTGCCCATAAAGGCGACCTGAGAGCCCGATGTGTTTAATGACACTCCAATACCCCTGTCTCGGCGCTGATGAGCTCCCCTGACCTGTGCCGGGGCGGCTGGGGCTGTCACTCACCGACATCCATGGGGTCCATGTGGAGATGCTCCGACTCTGCCGTGCCCAGGGCGTTGGTGGCAGCCACCCAGATCTCCATGTGCCGGTAGAGCTGGAGCAGCCGGCGCGGCACCGTGCAGCGGCTGCGGCCGCCTTGCGGGGTGCACCCCGTGACTGCCGGGGCTCTGCTCCTGCCGCAGCGAGAGGAGAGGGCTCGGGGATGAGGCCTTGCCATGGGGTGAGGGACCAGGCGCTGGGGACGTGTCACCCCGAGGCTCACCCGGCGCACTTCAGCGCGATGCTGGTGGGGAGGTGGCTGTCAGCCCCCGGCTCCCACTGGCACGTCAGCCCGTAGTCACTGAGGGTCAGGATGCAGCTGAGGTTGGAGGGCTTTGAGGGTGGATCTGGGAGAGAGGGGCCGGGAAAGAGCCTGAGCAAAGCACCCATCTGGGGACGCAGCCCCCTCTGTGCCCGGCACTGCCGCAGCACTGCTCCCCACACCTCCCCCGGCACAGCCCCAAAACAGCCCCCATCAGCAGCAGCACCCGGTGCTGCTCCTGCCCCAGCAGCTCTGCCCCGCTCACTCACAGCCCGCCCTGATCTCGGCCATGCCAACGCGCTGCTTGGTCCCGTTCCACTCCACCCAGCACCACAGCTTGGCCTGCGTGCGGTTGAACTGGG